AGTACCTGGAGGTAATAAGCCTCCGACAATCACAATCGTACCGACCAGAAAAGGTGAATTGACTGCACAGTTCAGGGTCCCACAACAGAATGGATCACTCGCGTTGGACCTCAGCCGACGGGAACCAGGAAGTGGAATATTGGAAGGGGTAAGTAGTAAGAAAGGGGGTTGGGGGACGCCCTCTGACGTAACGTAGACCCGGCGTTACAGGATGAAGAAGGATATTGGAGTATCCACACTAATTTCCTGACTTAACACCTTTACACTTCTACTTGTGAGGTACTCTAGAGCATTGTGTATGCCACAAAACCAAGAACACCGCAGGACCAGAGGCATGACAATAAAGCTGTCTGTGCTACTTTCCCACCAGCAACATTACAAGCATGCTGCTCTCTGTTCAACGCTGTTGTCAGTAGTGTCTTAGTGCCGGTGGTGGTCATTTTGAACATTTATGACTTTAAAGTGACCAACACAACAATGGGTTAACATCTGTCCACTTTAAGTGTTAAATATAAATTAATAAAGTGTGTGCTTTCATGGTGGGGAGGGGGGACATTGTACATATGAGTTATTTATAAGTTACTAAACTCATCTTCTCTCAGCATTCCAAGTACAGTGGCACAAACTGGCTTTGCACTAATGTTTGTGTTGAAACATGATAGAATTCAAAACTGTCCATGGCCCTGGACATCAGTCAGCACTTTTCACTTACTACGCAGCTGTATTCTTTTGCAAATTTTTCACTTTAATGATAACAATCTTAAAGACAGGTTCCATGTCCATGTGAATGTAACATTTGTATTTTGTCCCAAGCATTATAGAACACAAGTTTTTGACTGAAGAAAAGTCTACATTATAAAAGCACTGGGGTGATGACACAAGGCAAGCAAACCTACATAAGTTATGTGCTACTGTCAGTACATGCTTGGACTAGATAATGAAGTCATTCTTATACATATATGGATATATAAAAAAATAAAAAACAAAACAGATGTATAGTAGTCAATTTTCACCTTTCAAGACATTCACAGACTTCCATTAAAGAAAGCAATAACAAGGTGAACCGAAGTAGTATCAGCTGATCAATGTAAACATTCTGACAGCAATATCTAACTAACTTCATGGGGCTGAGCCCTTCTACAGAAGCTGCCAGTTGTGCAAATACTCAAGAACTTCCCAACATTTTATGGAACCCGAAGGTCAATTACTATGTTCACAAGAGCTTTCCACTGGTCCCTATCCTGAGTCAGATCAATCCAGTCAATACCACTCTCTAGGATTTCCCACCGCGGTGGCCCTGGTTCAATCCCGGGTCTGGTCAAGTGGGATTTGTGGTGGACAAAGTGGCGCTGGAGCAGGTTTTCTCCGAGTACTTCGGTTTCCTCTGCCAATCTTCATTCCACCAATTGCTCCACAATCACCCTCACCTATCATCTGGGGCTGGTACAATAGGCCAGAAATGGCCACAGTACAAGGGACTTAGTCCCACCCCCACTAGCAATAACAAAAAAAAAATCTAAAATCCATTTTGATATTATTCTCCAACCTACATCTTGGTCTTGCTATTGGACTCTTTCCTCCTGGCTTTCCCACCAACATCCTACATGCATTCATCTTATCACAATTCGTGCTACATGCCCTGCCCCATCTCATGCTCCTTGGCTTGATCATTGTAATCATACTTGGCAAAGAATACAAGTTATGAAGCTCCTCATTATGCAGTTTTCTTCAATCTGCCATCACTTCATCTCTCTCAATCCAAATATTCTCCTCAGCACCCTGTTTTCAAACACCGTCAGTCTATGTTCCTCCCTTAATGTCAGAGACCAAGTTTCACACCTATACAGAACCTCAGGGAAAACTATAGTTTTGTAAAGTAAGTAAAAAAAGTAAAGCTCTCCCTGTAACAGGCCGTGAAGGCCCATAGGGTTGTGAGACATTAAGGGTCCCACATTATCTTGACAAATGGCTCACAGATGGCGGTAAGGTTGTCAGACTTACGCGCTGGCCGCGCTTTACTCCCCAGGAAAAGTATATATTTAATTCCTGGTACTCATTTCTGTTAGAGGCTGAGTAAACCCCAGGGCCTAGTGTGGCCGGAAGGATTAGGTCAATTGAAAAAATCCAATGACCTCATTGGGACTTGAACCCGCGACCTTCCAGCTTGTAGCATAGTTTTGTATATTCTAATTTTTACGTTTCTAGACAGAAAATGAGAAGATTCTGACAGCAATCTCTAATTATATTGTGAGTAGCTGTTGTTTGCCTGTTTCTTGGACATGCTTCATAACTCTGAAAAGGATCTCTGGCAAGTTCGTATACATGGGGATATATTCTGTCTACCATGTGCACAAACTAATGAAAGAAAATCACTAGTAAACATAATAATATGAAAGGAAGTATCCCTGTTTCAATTCAAATTTAATTTATCCCAATATGTATGAGCATAAGCCAGAAAGTAGTGTGATGTATTTATTAACACAACAACAATATGTAACTCTTTTTCAACATGATGCCCCCTGCTATTCAATACAGTTGGTCCAGCATTGCACATGCTTATAAATCCCACCAGAAAATACGTCTTCAAATGGGCATCAAGCCATGCATACACCACCTGAAACTCATGGTCACTGGCAAAATGATGGCCTCTTAAGTATCTCTTAGGAGTCTATACAGATAAAAATCTGACAAGCAAGGTCTTAGCTGTACGGTAGATATTATGAGATCTCAAAGCATAGCTGCTGGAGAGTTTCAATAGTGTGGGCAGCAGTATGAGAACAGCCACTGCCATGCAACAGCACAACATCTTAATGTTTACTCTGACATGCCAGTTCAACTTGTCATATAGCATCTCACTGTACGAGGGGCGTTCAAGTTCTAAGGCCTCCGATTTTTTTTCTCAGGACTGGGAGCAGATAGACATATGAGGTTTAGTTTAAAATATGTGTGCCCTCTTTGTGAATGCGTGACAGAGATGGCAGCACTGTATGGCACACAGAACTCTAGTGGTGGTGGCAAGAGTGAGGAGTGTTTTTGATACCTAAAATGGCGATGTTTTCGTTATGAGAACAGCAGGTAATCATTCGTTTTCTCCACTTGCATGGTGCGACACCCATTGAAATTCATCACCAGTTGAGTGAGACATGTGGTGATGGTGTCATGAATGTGAAAAATGTGCGTTCGTGGGTGCGGCAGTTCAAAGAAGGCCGAACGTCGTGTGACAATGAACCAAAACAATCTCGGCCTCACACCAGCCGGTCTGATAACATGGTAGAGTGAGTTGAGAAAGTTGTTTTGCAGGATCGCCGATTGAGTGTGGAAAACACTGCCTCCAAAGTTGGCATTTCCATGGGATCTGTGCACACAATCCTGCATGAAGCCCTGCGAAAGCAGAAAGTGTCCTCCAGGTGGGTGCCATGAATGCTGGCGGACAACCACAAGGCTGTGCGCATGGCAATTTGCCAGGTGATGTTGACACGTGATGAAGGCATGAATGGAACTTTCTTTTCATCAATTGTGACAATGGACAAGACATAGATGCTGTTTTTCAATCCTGAAACGAAGCACCAGTTAGCTCAATGGAAGCACACACACTCACTGCCACCAAAAAAAGTTCGGGTAAGCACCAGTGCTGAAAAAATGGTGGTGGCCAAGTTTTGGGACAGCGATGGCATAATCCTTACTCACTGCATTCCAAAGGGCACTATGGTGACAGGCGCATCCTACCAAGATGTTCTGAAGAGCAAGTTCCTTCCAGCACTGCGAGAAAAACGGCCGGAAAAGGCTGCATGTGTGCTCTTTCACCAGGACAATGCACCAGCGCATTGGGCGTATGTGATGCAACAGTTTCTTCATGAAAACAACCTCGAACTGGTTTCTCATGCTCCCTACTCACCTGACCGGTCTCCTAGCGATTTTTGGCTTTTCCCAACGATGAAAAACACTCTCCGTGGTCGCACATTCACTAGTCGTGCCACTATTGCATCAGTGATTTTCTAGTGGTCAAAACAGACTCCTACAGAAGCGTTCACAGCGGCCATGGAATCATGGCGTCGATGTTGTGAAAAATGTGTATGGCTGCAGGGAGATTATGTCAAAAAGTGACAGAAGTTTAAAATTTTTTGTATGATTATTGTGTGAGAAAAAAATCAGAGACCTTAGAACTTGAACGCACCACATAATGTGCACTATTGATTGTCTCACACTCCTTTCCTGATAATGCTCAAGGATTGTTTCCTGCATATCCCTGAACACTGTGAGGATAACTCTTTCCACTGTTGATTGATATCAAAACTTCTTTTTGACTGGGGGCATGAAGTGTTTCCATTCTATACTCTGATGTCTGCTCTCTGACTTGTAGTGGCAGATTCATGTTTTATTATAGTGATAATGTGACTGAATATGTGTCACCATCATGACATTAGTTCAAAGCAGTTACAGAATGTCAAATGGTTAGGCCTACACTATTCCATAAGTTATTCTGGAACCCATTATGCAAAAACTTCACCATGACTTATCAGTGAATGGCTTACCACTTTATTGATAGCCACCCTCCCACTGTCCAGAATTAGTATGCAGACTTGTTTCATGTTCTCTTCAGTAGTCATAAGTAACCTAAACACTCTTTGTCAGTGACACTTTTTTGGCCATTTTTGAACATGTCAATCCATTTGTAGATGCTGTGCTGTACAGCAAAACACTGTCACTGTGCTGTGTTAAAAGTATTCGATGACTTTCCGTGCCTCTTACACCTTCAGTTAACAATGACACAATCACTGTATGCTGTTCTTCTTTGGTGTATATGGTACACAAAGCAGCCAAGAGTAAAGAGGTCTTATGCTTATGGCTGAGTGCCCATTCAACTGTGGGGCCAATCACACAAAAGATATGAACACTTTTCTTATACTTTCTGACTTACCCTCATATTTTCAATAGTAGTATAGTTCCTGAAAATCTTAAATAACATATCATTCAAATAAATAACAATGCCAAGTACTTACCTTGTAGTAGACATCTGGTACAAACTGCTTGTCTGTAGATTCCCTGACATAGCCCAGCTCTGGTGCATCTTTTGTTGGGACAAGACAGTTATCTCGAACAAGGGCCATGCACTGGTTGGACACACCATACCCTTCCATATGAACTTGATTACTGGCATCACCTGCAGAAATAATTAATAATAATGAACAGGAAAAAATTATACATTTTAAACAATTCTGCAAGAAGGGGCTAAATATCTGGAAAAACAGTACCATGGGCAGTAGTACATTACAACAAACTACACAGCATACTTACAAATAATCACAGTACCAACAACTGATTAATACTTCTAGAGTACATTTACAGATAAAAAAAATTTAACTACACTCAAAATTACCATATCATTGTATTAAGTCATTAATTATACATATAAATTATATAAGAAAATACATATTTGGTTATTCTTATTCATATAAAAATATCTACACAAATATTCATAATACAGTACGTGGGGAAATCCAAAAGTTACCGAAATTTGAATTTTGCATGCGAATGGTTATGAGTACATCGAAATACCGCTAGGTGTTTCCTCACACATCCTTCTTGAATCAGTGTGACAAGCAGCGTCGAGTTGAGTGGTTGGGTTTATTGTTGGTGAACGTATTTCCATTGTTGTGTTTCCGTGAGTTTGCAGTTTTGTGATGGCTGACCTGAGAGAGCAGCATGTCTGTATAAAGTTTTGTTTCAAACTTGGGAAAACTGCTGCAGAAACGCACCAAATGTTGAAGCAAGCTCTTGGTGACAAGAGTTTAGGCCAGACACAAACTTACAACTGGCATAAGCGTTTTAAAATGGCCAAACATTGACTGATGATGACGATCGTTCGGGACGGCCGTCAACGGACAAAACACCAGAAAAGTTAGGAATCTGATTCTGCAAGATCGTAGACTGACCATCCAAGACCTCTGTAACACCTTGGGACTTAGTTATGGTACATATCAACGAATTTTGTCAGACGAACTGAACATGAGGAGGATTGTGGCGAAGTTTGTGCCACGACTGCTGCAAAATGAACAGAAGCAGTATCGCTTGGAAGTCTGCAGGGAACTTCAGCAACAGCTTCAGGAAGATCCAAACTTTCTTTCGAAGGTTGTCACTGGTGATGAAATTTGGGTTTTTGGCTACGACGCTGAAATCAAGCAGCAATCGTCGCAATGGAAGAGCCCTTCTTCACCTCAGCCAAAAAAAGCTCGACAAGTCAAGAGCAACATTAAGTCCATGTTGATCTGTTTTTTGATATTGACGGGATTGTTCATAAGGAGTTTGTCCCTCCTGGTCAGACAGTCAATAAAGAGTTCTATCGCGATGTTCTAAGGCGTTTGAGGGAGGACATGAGGAGAAAACGTCCAGAGAAGTGGCGCACGAACGACTGGGTACTCCACCATGACAACGCACGACCGCATACGGCTTACATTGTGCAGGAATTTTTGTCTAAAAACAAGATGACAGTTGTTCCCCACCCATCGTACTCGCCAGACTTAGCTCCATGTGACTTCTTTCTCTTCCCCAAGATGAAAATCAAGTTGAAGGGGCGAAGATTTGATACAGTTGAGGAAATTCAAGCGGAAACGCAGACGGTACTAAAGACCCTAACAAAGAAAGGCTTCCAGGATGCATTTGAAAAGTGGCAGAAACGCTGGGATCGGTGTATGCGCTCCCAAGGGGACTACTTTGAAGGTGATGGTGCAGAATAAGATCTAGGTAAGATGTAATAGTTTTTATTAATATATTTTGGGAACTTTTGGATTGCACCGCGTATTTGCAAACAGACACATGATTACAGTCAGTCAATTAACTCTTTTTCTTGGTTCATTATTACTGCTATCAGATCAAAAGCTTAATACAAACTCTGCATGGCTGCCATAATCATATTTCATATTCTACAAGTAATGACCTCAATAGGTGTATAGTTTTTGAAGATCAATAATACCATGAAATTTTAGAACTCTACATGAAGCATCCCTAGTGTCATTCCTCGCTTTGAAGCTCATGTGGACTTCAGTTAGTACTAGTGATGACAATACATTAAAAAAGTATAAAGATGTGTCTCCAGGCATACATTCTCACCAAGTTTCATGGAAGATCATCAGTTAGTTAATAAACTGTTATTAAGAGGAATGCATGGGAGGATACATGCACATGATGAAATTTTAAATCTGTCTTTCCTTATAAAATAAGAGAAGTGCTCTGAAGACAATAAAAAATATCAGTATAATATAATCTGAAGATAGGTGTAGAGCGAACTCACATAATATGTAACACATTAAGTATACCCAAGAAAACTGACATGTCCAACATAACTGGTAAGTAGCATCACAAACTTCTTAGTCTTTAATGCATTGTTTCTGTTTCCCCCTCAATTTGAATCCATGATTTTCACACACCTGCAGATATTGTACATTGGAGTGTTGTATTTAGAAACCTCATTTTCTTTTTCAGAAGTCAAGGCTTCAACTCTCACATGAGAATGACTATCCTGACTGAGCTACTTCATGTCTTTCAAAGTTCCTTCAAGCAAATAGATGTACAGACCTTATAATAAGCAGTGACCACTTCTTTCAACGATATTCCCTATCCAGTTGAAGTGTCATTAACTAGTTCAAAAGATAGCAATATTATAGTAAGATTCATATTTCTTGATGCCTGAGGCATCACTGATATCACATTAGCCAATAACAAATGTGCTATGCTGCCCAGTCCAAGTCTGCTGCTGTGAGTTGCAAAATCTAATATCATGTGTGCTCACACAAACTTTTCGTGAATGAAATACAGTTACGTGGAGGGCTGTGTTTTTCTGACTGTGTAAGAGCAAACCCCACATATCTACCCCAAGTGGTTAGGAATTTAGGGCTTCTTAATTCTTCTTGCAATCACTGCTTATAGTTATCCAAGACAGTCACAATTTTGATACCACTTCTTGGACATTATATTCAGGATAAGATTAATTTTGTATTTGATAAAGCATAGTTCCTAAAAGCCTCAATCACTTGTTTCTAGCTTTCTAAGCAATCTGTGTCATTTAAAAAGTGCCTGCACTCTACCTTTTTCATATCTGATTATACAGGTACTCAGACTTGAAAGTATTCTGACGATGGTGTATACTGTACTTCTTTTGGCTTATTTTGGACTTCACCCATCGTCTGGTATGTAAAAGACAAAAAGACAAAAAACCACGATGTTTCGGAGACTGGATCTGTCTGTCTTCAGGTGGATAGAGAAGGATAAACCTACTCAGTTGGGCCCCTTAGAAAGAGCTAGTCTCAATCACTGGTCTTCTAGAGAAATCCAGGTTGGCTCAGCATGCATATGAAGAAGGTCACAGGGTAAGCTGGGATGAAGCTAGGATCTTGGAGGTTGAAAGCAACAGCAGATACAGAAAATACAAAGAATCAGCTCATATGGCATGTTCATCCAATCCGATCAGCCAACCCAGTTTGGATATTTCTCCCATATGGATCCCCCTCATCAACGAAGAGGTTAACAAATAAAGAATGTAATTTTATGAATATAAGTGGTTCCACTACTCCTGCAAGTTTTGTTCCTGGGATTAGTCTCATTCCCGGAAGTCGCCATGGTGGCACGATTCTTTATCCACGCAGATTAGGCATGCATCATCCAGTTTTTACTTTCATTTTTAACTGAATTCAAGGAATATAACCCATACTTCTGTTTCTTTACACTGTTGACAAGTGCATGCTTGGCACAAATTTTCCATCCTGTTTTTACTGTGATTTTATTCTTTCCTCCCACTGATGGAACCGACTGTCGGTTGTTCATAGGTTATTTTTCTACAGACCGGGATTTGCCCAGTGATTGAGACTAGCTCTTTCTAAGGGGCCCAACTGAGTAGGTTTATCCTTCCCTATCCACCTGAAGGCGGAGACAGATCCACGTCGTGGTTTTTTGTCTTTTACATACCAGATGATGGGTGAAGTCCAAAATAAGCCAAAAGAAGTACAGTATACAGGTACTGCCTCTGTCATTCTAAACAATTATAAACAATGAGCCCGAGACCAGGAACGGATATAACGTAGTTGACTTTCCCTGTGATATAATTGGCACATTCAAGCTGTCATTTCCTAACTGAGGACAGATATTGCAAGTTTTATTATAATAACTTTTAATGTTTTAGTGAACTTATATGTGTAACAATATATATGTCAATTATTTTGTATACAGTTTCTGAGTCAAACCACCTGAATATAACACACTGTTCAGTAAGCTGAGTATATGGCGTAATAGTTGTTCCGGCAGTCATGGTAGCAACGTCAACAGAATTGATTTTAATCTGTACAATTGCTTTAGTAAATGTGTTTGAAGAGAAATAAAGCAGACTGAATATCCCTAAATGCCAGGACATGACAGCTGAAGCATGTTGTATAAGCAAGTCAAATGTCTCATGCATATGCACGGAGGTAGAAAAGATACAATTCCACAAAAAATGACAAATCTACAAACCTTCCAGAAAGGTGTTTTACACAGAACTGTTTTTAACGTTATGACAAAGGCATACTCTCTATTATAAAAAATGTAACGATTGATCTTATAAAAAATAGCATATAAAGGTTCAGTTCATATTTTAGCCATTTATTCTTACAAAACACTTCAGTTCTATTTATACATGGGCTGTTCCAGTATCAGTTTGGTAACGCTGCTGCTGCTAAACATATGTGTGCACAATGACAAACTGGCAACTCCCCATTCATAATTTTCATTTTATGCAGCCTGTTGTGTTTATATATACACAATTCTTTATTGGAATCTGTCGTAACACAACAACATAACAGTCAACATTATTTTAAATACATGTTTCGGCTTTTAAAGCCATCATCAGGCAAAAGGCATGGTTACCACATTCACACACTATTGAACCGCATTACATTGTGACAGTAGAGTTGGATACTTGATTACTATGTTACAATATAAAATACAAGGTATAAAAATACAATGAATTATGAAATTATTATAAAACGAAAGTTATGTAATAATATGGTTAACAAATGTTCATATGCCATTTCATATTATGAAGTAAGTTGTTGCAATCTTGTTTTACATATCATTTGCAATCTGTATTCACACCAGAACGGACAAAATACATTGCAAAATGAGGCACCGGCAAAACAATTAATATCAAATACACTACACCTATACCAGGGGCCTCCAAGCAGTTTACTATATGTATACAAGTCTTGAATATACAACTATATGTCCACTGGAATGTAACAACAAGATTGTTCATGAAATAGCACACGAAGAGTTTTTAAACATATTTTATTACATAACTTTCGTTTTATAATGATTTCATAATTCATTGTATTTTTATACCTTGTATTTTATGGTTTAACATAGTAGTCAAGCATCCAGTTCTACTGTCACAATGCAATGCAGTTCAATAGTGTGTGAATATGGTAACCATGTATCTTGCCTGATGATGGCTTTAAAAGCCAGAACATGTAGCTAAGATAATGTGGACCGTTATGTTGTTGTGTTATGATGGATTCCGATAAAGAATTGTCCCCATTCATTTTCAGCAACCACCAAGAGATGTGAATCTTACTACAGGAAAAGCGGCCTCCGTAGTCTAGGGGTAACGTTCCCATCTCATGACTCAAGGTACATGGGTTCAAACCCAGCGGAGGTCGTGGAATTTTTAAGGTTGGAAAAATTCAGGGAACAAGTCCTCAGGGAGGGACTCCATGTGTCCCGTGTCGTAGATTTACGACATGTAAAAGATCTTCATGTCTCTAGGAGACCTCTAAGCAAAATTAGGCAAGTTTCCCGCCCAAGTAGTTTCCAATTCCTCCGGTAGATGGGAAAGTATCAGGGACCACTGTCAGAGAGGGCTGACCTCGCTGGCAGAACGGGGCTGATAGCGAGCACCAGTACTGGAAGGGTATGGAGACTAGTTAGAATAATTAAAGGGGGACGCACAATAGATCAACAAATGGTCACAGTGCAAGGGGAAACCGACCCCCTTCAAATAATAATAATAATAATACTATAGGCAACTATTCTATGCCATATTATCATTATCAGAAGCATTGTATTAACCTGTGAAACCTGATGAAACATTTCATAATATCTCCTGTCATTTCATAATTACAGGCATGTGAGGTCATTATATATGTATCAGACATACCTGTTACACAGACAGTAACAAATTTGGAGCCAAAATATCCAACAGGCGAGAAGCGACATGGGTTAGGCTGCTTATTTTGAAAGTAACCTGCCATTATACATTCTTCTGCTGACAAGAAGTGACTCTCAATGTTTCGAACATGCTTCACCTGAAATGAATCATGGTAGAACCACAGTAGAAGCATTTCTACAGACAAGAACAAGTACAACTGCCTTCTTTATACAACAAGAAAATTCATAATTATCATTTATAAATCAATAACTTTTCCACTTGATATATTGATTGAAATGCTACATTTGGAGCATAGCTCTGTATGGGGCTGAAACATGGACACTTAGGGCAGTAGATCAGAAACATCTGGAAAGTTTCGAAATGTGGTGTTGGAGAAGAATGGAGAAGATCAGTTGGACCGATTATGTGAGAAATGAAGAAGTGTTAATTAGAGTCAGTGAGCAGAGGAATATCCTACATGAAATAAGAAAACGGAAGGCTAATTNTACATTACAAGAAACTTTCTGATTCATACCTGTCAGGGACCTATCATGATTATAGAATAATTGTCTGAGACCATCTAGTGTGATTCAATTTGTAGGTGTTTATTGCCTTTACACGTTTCAGTCAGCTGACAATCTTCAGAAGGCCTGTGCTTCAAAACACAGCAAAATGTCACAAGCTAAAATAAGGGGGCAGGACTGCGAGCACCTCTGGGGACTCCATATAATACTCCAACTTTCCGTTTTAGCAGAAGAGGCACAAGGACACAACCATATCAGTTCAAAGGTTTTAAATATTACACACCAACAAGATTTTAATCCAAATAATTGTAAATAACTTATATAAAAACATTTAACTATGTATTACAAACTCTGTAATAGTAGTTCCTGAACATGTTGATCTTACGCCTTCTGAAGATTGTCAGCTGACTGAAACATGTAAGGCAATAGTTTACTAGTGTGATGGACCAGACTGAATAAAGTTAAACCTATGATGAACTGGACATATATACTCATAGATCAAAGACAAGAAGTGCATACAGAATTTTGGTGGTGGATATCTCTTGGAAAGAAACAAATTTAAAGGCTGTGAAGGAGATGGGAGAATAACATTAAGGTGAATCTTGGAGAAATGTGCTGTGAAGATTAAAGATTCAGGGTCACATCTAACGGTGAGCTATGATATTCATGATGTTAAACTTTTCAGTTCTAGTATGAAAGACCTAGTGCAGTTACTTTTTGTATGTATCTAATATTTTACTTACAGTTCCCTTTTTAACATCATCAGCTACCAGATCAGTAAAGATCCAGCCAACACGACACAGACCCAGTTGCTGTGCCAATTCCTGCACCACAGGCTCCTTTTCATCTGGTAAAAGGGTGATGGAATCCCGCGTACTTTCCTGCAAACATTCCACAAGAAGATATCCTCACCATTAGCATTCCTGCATTCATGTAGTGGATTCAGAATCTACCAAACTCAACCAAAATTTCTGTCAGTGACATTTCCTCTATGTGAGATATAACAATTATACTACCATGACTCAGCAGCTAGAGGTCCTACCTGTGATAATGGGGTGCACCACATGAAGTTGAAGTTGGCTGCAGTCCTTAATACATATTCTGAACCACAAACTACAGTACTTCATGTTAGGCACATATGAGTCTACCCACATTGAGAAAAATACTTCAGATTCATATATACATTTTCAGTCTTGAATTCTGAGAATTTTCTAGTAACTGCTTTTGTTTTGTGCATCAGGTCTGATGTCCAAAGGGATTAGCATATCTGCCCAAATGGAAGACAAGTTTCCCCCCATATTCCAAGTGTTACAAAATTACTATCATTAATATGAATATGAATATATATATATAATGTGGCATGCGGCCAGGAAGGCTGGACCGTAGAACGTCCATTGCTGGTCAATGGCTAACAATTGCTTGGCAACGAAACATAAGCAGACCGTTGCCTAGGGAAGTGCTTAGGCGACAGAGACTGAAGTGTTGAGTTCCCAACATACGCGCAACAATAGGGTGTTCACTGCTAGGCAATGCATGGGTACACACACCTGATAATAATACATGACATCCGTTGCCAAGCAGCAATGTGTTTTGTGCGGGTGGTCCGTGCCGAGCCTATACAGGGAGCAGTGAAACCAGAATAGTCAGGATCCAATGAGTGGTAAAGGAAGAACCAAGAACGAAGGCTCCACCAAGAATAGCAGTGCAAGATTATAGCCACTGAAGAGGAAACTTCTGAAGGTGTTACTGAGAGTGATTATAATTGTGTGTGTAAACAAATAATTATTTGTTTACACTCACAATTGGATGATTATAATCATCCAATAAACATTCGTCTTATCCAGAACCCATCATTTCTTGTCGTGTTAACTAGGAAACACACAGCAATATATTTACACATACTGTGACATGTTTAACCACTGTGGGGCAATGGGAGGTGGAACAGTTACCACGAAGACAGACCCTTGATAAACGATCGGTTGCCAGGTTAAGCAACAGTAAGGAAAGCGGTGTTTCTCCATGCCGTGTTGAGCCGAAGCTCGCTGGTTGCTAAGCAGCAATAAACAACTCTTGGCAGCGTTACCCAGCAACACCTGTAAACACAGTGATTAAGCAACAGGGGAGCGAGGCGCACTTTCCCTTGCCTGGCGGAGGGTTTATAAGAGAACTGCAAGTCAGTTAAAATGTAGCAGCCACCGAAGTCAGTTGAACTGTAGCAGTCACCGAGTTCAGTTGTAGCGAGTGAATCGTGAACATGAAGAATACCAGAACGTGTGTTTAGAGGTGATAGTTTGAGAAGTTATTTGGAGTGTGTAATACAGTGACAGTGGTATAGCTCCCGTATTGCACTGTGAATAATTGAAGACTACTGAAAATAGAATGAACAGCTTATTGTGTAGGGTTTATAAATTGTGTAAACCTGCAATTGTGTTATAATTATTTGTAGCTACGACTTGTAGGTTGTTAAATAAACCAATTAACAATCCGAAAGGCATCTTCAGAGACAAAACACGTTACAATATATATAATTATTATTATTATTATTATTATTATTATATATATGATTATTGAAATCCATTGTAAGCTTTGGTTATGTCCATACCAAAGTTCAAGGTGGAATGATATAATAGTAGCAAGCAAGGTAGTGAAAGAGGCAGAAGTATGTTCCACAGTCAGAAATCCCAGACACTATGAGAGTGTCCAAAGTACCACTGAAGTTAGGTAACAAACCACTTTATACCCTAAGATTCTGCACAAACACAAGAGTCTGTCATCCTAAAATGGCAGTTCATGACAAGAAGACATACTAGTGAAAGGGAATATGTGTCAAAATGCATTGGCTACAATTCATAATTTAAAATTATGGTGAGTGAATAAGAACAAACATACAATTGTGAAATAGCACAAAAATACATCTCCTGAGGAAAATACAGGGTGTTTCACGACTTTAGGGCATAATTGCAGGAGGTGATTTCCTAGGTCTTTGTGATCAAAAAAGTTCATATAAACATGTGTCCGATTTTGGACGGTTACGGAGTTATGACGTTTTAAACTCAGAATAGAAGGTAACGATTACTGACAATAAACGGAACAAAATAATAAACCAGCATAATACATGATACATTTAAAGTATGAATGTAAAGTTAACTTCGTGAAATTACCTTTAATTTGAATTTATTGGTGCTTAAAGCTGATTTAAGAAAATGCCCCCGCCGGCCGCAACACAGGCTGCCGCTAGGTTGTGAACCATGCGGGTAGCATGTAGCAGCTTCAGCTGGCTGTTTCTTATATGGTCAGCGGTGCCCAGAATGCGACTGAGCAAAGCATCTTGCGTTGCCACCTTCACATTGTAAACCAGTTCTTTCATCCATCCCCACACACAATAATCCAGTGGGCTTAAGTCTGGAGACCTGGCTGGCAATTCATTGCGTACTCATACGTGACTGCAGTGTACCATACGAACAATGCCTTCTTCATTGATGCCTTCATTAACACCATGCTCAGCTGCAATACGAACGCGGGGAAATCTACCGGTATCTCGCAATGCCTGGTAAACTCCAGTAAACACTCACCGGTTCGGAAACCATTACTGATATTCAGCTACGGCAAGAGCTGAGTTACCATCACAAAACCCGCAGACATAAATCATATCTGCATACTCCTCAAATGAAAATGTAAATGGCATTGTGAACGTAACAGATGCACCAAGATGAGAACTGTTCTGAACACCAGTAGCCGCCACACTAGCTGTGACCACACATATCAACCCACCAAGCCTTAGGTACCTCTCAAGTGTCGAGATAACGAGAACACTATGTCTGTAGCTGGCTAAAAATAGCAACCTGCCAGATGATAGACGTGGTTCACACAAGGGCGTGTACGGGAATGAAAAAACGGTCATAACTCCGTAACCATCCAAAATCGGGCACATGTTTATATGAACTTTTTCGATCACAAAGACGTAGGAAATCACGTCCTGCAGTTATGCCCTAAAGTCGTGAAACACCCTGTATATGAAGACAGAAACAGGAAATTATGGCAATTCTACATAAATGCTACTATTTACTATTTGCAAATATTATGAATATTTGTGCATATATTTTTATATGAATGAGAATAACCAAATATGTATTTTCTTATATACGAATGATGCCTGGAATTTATATGTATAGTTAACGACTTAATACAATGATATGGTAATTTTGAGTGTAGTTAAATAGTTTCCCGCCCAAGTAGTTTCCAATGCCTCTGGTAGATGGGGGAATTATCAGGTGCCGAGGGCTGACCTCGTTGGCTGAACGGGGCTGATAGCACACACCAGTATCGGTAGGGTATGGCGACTGGTAGAATATCAAAGTGGGATGTACAGTAGACAATTAGTCGCGGTGCATGGGGAAACCCACCCCCTCCAATAATAATAATGATAATAATAATAATAACAACAATAATAATGTTGTAATAAATTAGCCTTTAATGATAATTTGGAACAGTTGTTACTCTGAATGGTTCTTGGTACAGGACCATGGGAATGAATCTCTCAGAAGTGATAAAAGGATTTAGAAAGTGCTGTATATCTAATGAAATGGATGGAAGGAGGGATGAAGACAAAGTTGAAAATGTTGGTAGAGAATATGAGTGTGAATAGTGAATGTGAGAAAGAAGATGCGAATAGGAAGGCACTGAAGCTGAGGAAGACGATAGGGATGGTAAACAGTATTAGACTACTGAAGCCGAATAAAGGCCAGTGACCCAAAAGGGGAAAATAACTCAATAAATATCTTGTTCAATGTCTTTAATAATATTCATTTTATTTCGCATGTTTTTAGTTAAGTGTATGAAATAGGTTCAAAAAATTACTTCTTCTGTGCAAACATGTTGCCTACTGTTGGGACACCTTACATTCAGAATCCTCTTCCAGCCAGGTATACGCAGCAATACACTTAAAAAGTGGCCAGGCTTATAAATTATTACAGTTAAATATAGAGGGACCCAAAAATGTATGCACACCGTTCTGTTGCCACTTTGTTTGACTGTCCTGTCATTCATTAAGGTGACTCTTCCATTAATGTGACCAGAACCATCTTTTGAGAGAATATCACACTATATTACACCTTACACTATACTGTGTACATTACATTTCTGTTCAGCTCTGAAAATATCTGTAAATAATGTCTATTTATGCATGTATACACTTTTTTGTCCTCTCTGTATTGTTTATTATAGAGAATTCTCATTCTCAACATGTTTGAAAATTCTCATCTTGAACTGCAAGTCATTTCTGCATATGCCTACTTCATGTTAGTAAGCATAGGTACCATAAACGGGACATACCAATGTATGGGGACCATAGTTGTACAAAGATGATGATGGTAAAGCTATCTGTGATTCAATGCCTAAAGAACTCGTATTTGCTGCTGTACATTTCATTTATGTATGCTAGGCATTTCAGAAATATCCTAAATGTCAGCAGAAGTGTGTAATAGTTTGCATGACATGTGGTGCTGAGGTATCTACTGTGTATGAAGTAGGAGGTGGCAGTGTGGTGGTTATGTGTCGTCTCAACGCTGAGCTATAAATCAAGATAAAAGTGCAAGAATATACATTTCAGAACAGTTATCATGCTTCATGGCAGAAACTTAGGAGCCCATGCTTTGTCATATGAAACTGTATGTTGGTAGGTGATGCCACACAGTAATGTGCCAACAGCTGCCAATGACATTACAGAAGAAGTGGGAATTTTACTAGTAGGTAGTACACAAGAGATATAAAAGATAGTTATTTGTAACATCTGTAATGTATGCATCAGCAGAGGACTCTCAGTGCCTGAAAATGGTACTGACATAGTTCACTGTTGTCATTCTTTAATGGCATATTTTAAGTGATATTTACTGAAACAGTTTTAATGTAACACATGTTATGTAATGCTTGGAATCTCTATCATGACCTTTGTCCAGAGTGTAAAAACTATATTAATTCTGAATTTCTGTGTTTTTGTCCAGTCTTTAAAGAAAATTCACACTGTGGTTTATAAATTGTGGTTAAGGTTTGTTACTGTGCAATATTTAGGAAGGGGTGAGAAATAATAGTAAGGCATACAAATAAGAGAAACAGAAAAATAACATGAGAGTAGCAAGGGAAAGATATAAATATATAAAAGTGATAAAAGAAAGGAAGAAAGGATCTGGGGTATGAAGATGTGAAATAAATCATTTTCCCTGAGAGACTAAACTTGTGCATCCACTAAAACATTAGACCAGCTGATGGAATACAGCTTATGTAAAAAATGTAGACTTTCTGTTGAATTTTTCAATGGGCATTATGCCAGTATATTGCTGCATGAAGTGAGTATGAGGGAGAATTACATGCCAGCCTGAGCACACCTTCCATTCACTGAAGGATCAAAACCTTCCCCTTCTTGGTTTTTCAGAAAATGCGAAGGGCCTGATTCACTCATAAAGGTAAGGAACCACAGCAGAAATATTACTTGCATAAAACAGTAGCTGCAGGCCTGAGTCAAGCTGCCAGGTAAACCAGAGGTGTGCAACCGGTGTAGAGAAAAAGAGATGTGAAACAATGTGAGCTGTGGGTCAAGAAGTGAGTTCACTCCTGGCTGAGAAACGATGCATGACGAGGACTGCGCAGTGACATTACAGTGGACACCAAAGATGTGACATCAAGTTCATAAGTACCTACTGATGATGAGACAGTAAGTGTTCAAAATTATGATAAATGTTACAACTGTGTTTATACTAACAACAGACTGTCTTTAAAATTGCATATTCTCTTAAAAAATACTATAAATTTATTATTCATCCATCCATTTGAAACAATTATAATTATTTTCATTATAAGAAGCAGAATAAACTCATCACAGAAGGGAAATATAATAATTCAAAGCGTACATCATGAATGTGAGTTGAGACTTTACAGAAAGTGGAATCATAATTTTGAAATTATTAAACATTAGTGCAATTCTTGTCCAACAAAGACTGTGATGGGTTACGATTACTTACCTGAGGCGGTTCATAGATGGCAGCCACTGTGGCTCTGATACCAAGAGGCACATCTGCGTGAATCTCGTACCTTCCATATAGAAACCCTATGCGCTGGTGCCCAGTACTGCGCCAGTAGTTCAAAAACCGTTCCACTAGATATGCATTCTCAAACATCACATTGTCAACATGGCGATACACCTGCAATAAGAAACACAAACTCAACAAAGAACCATTTATAATAATTATTAGGATGACACTGAAAAATATTTACTATAACAATATATGAAACACATTCGCCAAATGCATTACTACTGTTATGAAGCAACAGTAACAGTATGCAGTAATCAAATTTCACATAAATAAATAAGTATATAAACTAATTTTCATTTCATGGATCCTGTTGTATTATTATATACAATTCTTTATTGGAGTCCGTCATAACACAACAATGTAACGGTCAAGGTTAATATTACCTTAACTACATGTTTCGGCTTTTAAAGCCATCATCAGGCAAAACACATGATTACTATATTCACACACTATTGAACTGCAATTTAATTGTGATAGTAAAGCTGGATACTTGATAAATGTTATGTTATAAAATAAAAGGTATAGAAACACAATGAATTATAAACTTATTATAAAACTAAAGTTATGGAGTAAAATATGGCTAAGAACTCTTCATGTGATGTTGCATATCATGAAGTCAGCTGTTGCAATCCTGTTATATTCCCACAGACATAATGTTATATTCAAGACTTGTATACATATAGTGAACAGGTTGGACGCCTGTGGTATACATGTATTATTTGATATTAACTGTTTGCCCGGTGCTTCATTTTACAATGTATTCCCAAAAGAGTGGACAAAATATATTGTAAAATGAGGCACCGGCCAAACAATTAATGTCAAATGATACATCTATACCACAGGCATCCAAGCAGTTCACTATATGTATATAAGTTTTGAATATACCATTATGCCCATGGGAATATGACAAGATTGCAACAACTGACTTCATGATATGCAATTTCACATGAAGAGTTTTTAACCATATTTTACTCCATAACTTTCATTTTATAATAAGTTTAGAATTCATTGCATTTTTATACCTTGTATTTTATAATGTAACAGTTATCAAGTATCCAGCTTTACTATCACAATGAAATTGCAGTTCAATAGTGTGTGAATATAGTAATCATGTGTTTTGCCTGATGATGGCTTTAAAAGCTTGACCGTTATGTTGTTGTGTTACCATGACTCCAATAAACAATTGTACATACACTAATTATAGTGCTACTGAAAAATTCCCAGACTGTTATTGCTGTAACTGCCTTGGTGAGAGAATATGAGAGGGGAGGCCAAGGTCACACTTCCCCAAGCCTACTGCATCAGTCTGCCACGTGACACCGCACTGTGAACATGCATTGCTTTTAGATGAATTCTTTTTCAGCTTCGTGTTTCATTTTGTCTGCAATGGATGGCAAATCCAAGCAATGCGTCTGCATCAAGTTTTGCATGAAGCTTGGTAAATCCACTATCGAAACCCTTGAAATGCTTCATGAGGCTTTTGCAGAACCCTCTTTAAGCCAGATAGTTTTTTGAATGGCATTAACGTTTCAAGGCCAGTTCAGCATCAGTTGCAGATAACAAATGTTCAGGGCAACCAAACACCTATAAAATGACAGAAAATGTTGAAAAAATTCAAGAACTCATCCATGAAGACCATCGCCAAATAATCCATGAGCTTGCAGACACTGCTGGGATCAGTGATGGAGTTTGACAGGAGACCTTAACAGAAAATCTGAACATGTGCTGTATTGCCGCAAAGTTCCTTCCCCGAGTTGTGACAAATGACCAAAAGCAGCAGTGCGTAAACATGTCTTGAGCTATGAGAGAAGGCTAACGAGGACCCAACTTTTATCTCTAGGATCATAATAGGTGACAAAAGTTGGAATTACAGTTATGATCCAGAAACAAAGCAACAATCATTGCAGAGGAAGAGCCCACAATCACCAAGAGCAAAAAAAAGGTGTAGCAGGTCTGAAGTTCAATAAAGAGCATTCTTATTGCTTTTTTCTATGTGAAGGAGATTGTTCACCATGAATTTGTTCCTCCTAATACTACAGTCAACTCTGACTATTACCATGACATTTTGAGACGCTTGAGAGAAAATGTGCAATAAAAAGACTGAAACTTTGGCACAATTAGAACTGGCTCCATTATGACAATGTGCCCACCCATACATCCCTGAAAACCACTTCCACAGTGCTTTTGGAGCGTGGAAAAAATGATGGGATAGCTATATACATTCCCAAGGCGACTATTTTGATGGAGATGGTAGGCAAAATTGAGTAAGTTAAGCCATCATTTCTTTTCTGACCTAGTCCGGCAACTTTCTGATAGAACCTTATAAATGGAAACATCACTGGCATCTTTTTCATAAAACAAAGAAATAAAAATATGTTAATAAACATAAGGAAATAATGAACACTGAAAAATCCTGTTTTTTAAAATTACTGTCTTCTGGGTTGTGATGCCATGTAGTCCAATGGAATGTTACCAATGCTGCTGAAGAATCAGCTGCTGTTGTCAGAGAAAGAGAAACCAAGTGTGGGACATGTAGGACTTGGACCAGGATGCTGAGAAAATGAAGAAAAGGATGGAGAACAGTTAAAAAAAACGTGGTCAATAACCTTTAAGTGCTGAAGTGCCCCGTTTGTGCCTGTCATGAGTAAGGTCGTCATGGCCAAAGTGCCCCGTTTGTGCCAGTCAGGCATTTAAACTCTGCTAGTGGAAGCACGCGCACACACCACTAGTGGAAGCACATGCACAGTCCTAACTCTTTATTTTTAAATGTAGTAATTACCAGACAGACTTGAGTAAAACCCTAATAGCTGAATTAAATTGATACCTAAATGAACAACAGCCAATAAAAATATACGTATGAGTTATGCCAAAACTTATCCACGATCCAGTAATTTTATTGCAGATTCTGCAGATAGGTATGTTAAAAAATATTGTAAAATTCGATGTACATACCTTTTTTGTTGTTACCTGCTTGATGTATATATAGGCTGAAATTATACTACAGTATTCGATTTCACTACGAACGCACAGAAAACAGACCGCACTCTGTATCTTAGCCACGATGCAGCTGTCTGCTCATTCAAATAGAAGGGGCAATAAACTTTTGCAGCTCTAACGGAAGGTCTTAGCACTGAAGAAGGGACCCCTCTAGCTTTCTCTTGAATAGCCATGCTTTCATTCTTCTGTCCTTCAGTCAAAAGATTCGAAAATCCGAAGAGTGTAAGCAGGACTAGCAGAAGACCAAATGATTTTATTGCTTCCATCTGTTTTATGACACCAGGGACTGCTAAAATTCGTCAAGTGTTACAAACAGAAATGAATTTATAATGCAGAACAACTCTGTGAAGAACTGGAAAACCATTTTTGCAGTACGCATCAAAATTAAAACAAAAAAATTGAAAATAGAGTATAACACTTTGTATTAAAAATTTCAAATCTTCCGTTATAATATGCGACACTATGTTCTTTGCTGATATAAACAAAGTAAATACCATCCATTTATCATAAAAATTGAGCAAGATAGAGCATTTTTAAACACAACACTTAAAAGTGATTAAGCACCTAATAGGAACGGACATTTAAACGCAGAGTAGCAACGGGCATTTAAACGCACACCAGCAGCGGGCATTTAAATAAACTCCGGCCTGCTCAAGCTTACCACTATTTCGAACTCCGGCGTTTAAAGGTTAAAAGGGCATCCTTACATGACAAAAGTAACTGGGAGAAATAATCACTGAATGAACTGAGAGGAAGTCAAAGGAAGTCAGAAGAAACAGAGTCAGCTGATTCATAGGGCACAGCAGGGAGGATAAAATAAAAATGTACAGAAAACAGAGAGATTCAGGATGCCAGGATGAACTACATAAATGGAACACAGGAAGGAGGCCATAAACACTGACTGGGGTTGATGCACAGAGCTATGTAGAGGTGGAGAAAATTAAGGAGAAAAATAAAGAAGCTAAGAAATGGGGCTTGAGGATAAGGACTGGATTCATCTGGTTCAGGGTAGGGTCCAGTGTGTGCTCTGACTGACTATCAGCTTCTCCTGAAAGGTCTATATTCCATGGAGTCAGTTAAATAGATAAATAAGAAATATTTGTAATGTTATGGGTCATGCCTTTATGATTACTCCACATTTAACCTTGATTTAAATTCAGAACATAATTACTGTCAGAGAAGTTAATTTTATGCTCAGGAGCACTATTTGGTCTTAGGTTGAATATGAGTGTTCTCACCTGACGATTAAGTGTAATGGCATTTGGCTGACATTTTGAACAAATTCCTTTCGGCCATGGTGGGTGGTCCTTACAACCAGTCTTGATATGACAACTGATGTCTTCTAATGACACAAACTTGCCCCTGCAAATCAACAATAAGAAATGTTCAGAAAGCTGTAATTAGAAAAGAAGAACTAAAAACAAGAAGGACCATTTGAAAAACTAGAAACATGTGGGAAAACATAAATATAATGGACCTTAAAGAAATAGGATGTGAGTGTACAGACTGAATTCAATTTGCTCACACTAAAACCCAATGGCAACCTCTTGTAGCCCTGGTAATGATCTCCAGGATCCATAAAAGGTAGGTAATTTCTTGACTATGTTAGCAACTATAAACATCTCAAGAGGAAAATTATCCATGGACTGAGTGAAGTAATTACCAAAAGTGTGTTTGGTGAAGGAAATATAGCTTTTTAATATTTCTCTTACTACATTTTGTTGTAAGAATATGCCTGAAAAACCAAAGAAACTGAAATATATGGCTGTGAAATACAAGAAATATTGTCATGTGTCCAGGGATCAGTGACTAATAATAAAGGATTCTCAATTGGATAATCAGATTTATTGATGCCTTCTTCAGAGTCACTCTTAATTACAATCAATTACAACAGCTCACAATCAATGACTGCCTAAGACCCACTCCATTCCTTACTGGACTATGACTGTCTTCTCTTCTACCACGACTAACTTGGTGCTGATATATGAATCACTCACTTCTGATTTACAAATGACTTTCAAATCATGAAGGACAAATGATGAACGGAGAATGAATCTATTATCATTTGCATGGCCACTTTTATAGTCTAGCAGTAACCATGGAAAATGTTTGTTGCTTGTCTGCTGACACAGAAACACATTCCATACCATGTTGGTCTTGAGGAATACACATCTTAATAGCAATGTGTGTTAATTTCGCAGCAACGCTCTGGTTGTCAAGAATTTACAACTTCCAGTTTTTGCATCCATGGAAACCTCTGTCCAGTACCCAGCAATGATTTGTCCAAGAATCGTATCTCTGCGGCAACATATTTGTCAATGTGTTTCCTAGAAATGCCTACATGTCACAATACTTTATACCAGTTATATTTACCTGTCAACTCCTGCAGTGAGCTTCCTGAGAAAAGAGTGGAAAGACAGATGCTTGATATTTTGTTCCTTCAAGTAAGTTTCATCAAATGGCTCCAGTGGTGAGCAATGGACACAACAGCCATTTGCTCCATGTCGACACCTGTAACAGAAACAAGTAATGAATGCTCTCCTCTCTGCAGTAAACGCTTGTATGTAGTTCACTTCACATACAGATACTGCAAAGTTATTTCTATAGTAATATTCTCAGCCCTTTAGTCATTAAATTAGACAGTGACTGATGTTACATGTGAAAAGGAAGAGGTTCCAATTAGAACAACCCCATTGCTTGAGATAAATTTCCACATCATCTGACAAAGTATATGGTGTGAAAAAGTTAGCATGTTTTCTGACCTGAATGCATAAAATGAATGCATTTCCTAAGGTCATGTTTGTCTGCATATTCAATCCCTGAATTTTCTACATGGATTATGACTGAATTTGGTATGGCTGCATCTACACTAAAAGTTGTGAGATGATACTGACTGTGGTTCATACTGGTCCCTTCCTATATTTGAAGCTCAAATAAAACTTTACCAGTTTTCTCAAAAACAACTATCATACAAATAAATTGGTTCATTAATAGTTTTATTAAGATCTACAACTTTACTATCAACAGTGTATAATATGGTGGACAATGAAATACAGAGTAACCTAACATGTGTAGCTTTAGAACATTAGATTTGATTCTGCACATAGGGGTATCAAGACCAACAAAAAAACAAACAAAAAATCACATTTGGAAATTACATGGACTCCAAGGAATACACCTTTCTATTCTCCTTTATAATCACGATTCTTTCAATCTGGAGATGAATCTGTGAAGTTAGCCACTTTTTTAATACTCCACCTGTCTCAGCTGACCACATTTTTAGGAATCATTAAAGCCTATTTTATTATAAACAGCTCTCTAACCTGGTTCTGCAACAAACTTCAATCTTGGTTCCATAAAAAGTACTTATGCTATGGTTTCATAAATGGTAAACCTACAATAACAGGCTATTAGATCCCAGGTCCTGTATTCAATGAGAAAAAGTTTTTGGTTATTTTGATGGTAACAGTAAATTTGGTTTTGATGAATGAATTGAGCCTGCTTGCTCAACTGTCTCTCTATCCACCTCCATGTCTTAAATAAATTAAATTAATATTATAAACACTAGTTATCTATCTTCATAAAACTCACGATAAACAACATGCCAATCGAAATCATCATATCTGAACTATTTTTAACTTCTTGTCATTAACTATACCAACACAGCAAATGTGATAACTTGTGAGATGGAAATAATACTAGCAGCATTCAATATATCTTAAGGCAACTTTGAACAGCACTAGATCTTTTAAAAACATGGAATTATTACAAGGTTTCTTATCTAGAAAAAGGGAAAAAGTAGGATTCTCATATATATACTTTTGGTTTAATGGTGATGCATCACTGTAACTACATTTGAAACTACCTGTTAAACACATTTTATAGTAGAAAAGAAACCTGTATAGTCTACAGTGCACCATGACAATACTTAGGTTCACAGGCAGTGGTATCAACAATAGTCACAAAACAGGTCACTGCAAATCTCCTTCAATTATTTCAGTACCCAGACCAACTGCTGTTTGCTCACTTCAGCAAATATTATTAGTAGATTTCTTAACTATTAACCTTCCTACATGTGAATGGAATTTGGAGAACAGCATTTGAAGGAAGGTAAATATACTGTAAACTGTAAGTTCTTGCTTGCTTAAGTTTTCTGGTGGAATCACAAACAGACAGTATAAACAAGAGGCTACAGTTGTCAGTTTTGCCATGCTTCCAGACTAGCACAGAACTGTGTCCTGTATGCTGCTGATTTCACCTATAACTTGCCAACAGGTCATGATATAAGTACATATAGGATTAGGGCTGGTTACGGTTCTCCTGAGAATTCTGCCTGTTCCATACAGGGATTAAAACTTAAATAGCAGTAGTAACCAAAGTATAATTAGAATGATCAAGTCAAGGAGGATGAGGTGGACAGGGCATGTAGCACGAATGAGGGAGAAAAGGAATGCATATAGAATATTGGTGGGAATGCCAGAAGGAAAGAGACCACCGGGAAGACCAAGGCATAGGTGGGTGGACAATATTAAAATGGATCTTACAGAGCTAGGATGGGGTGGTATGGATTGGATTGATCTGGCCCAGGATAGGGACCAGGGGAGGGCTCTTGTGAACACAGTAATGAACCTTTGTGTTCCATAAAATGCTGGGGAACCAAATTATCAAAGCCTGACATGCACCACAGATATCTGCATATATTATTGTGGCTGAATATGGTAATCATGTAACTAGCTGTCTAAAATAAAAATTTACAAATATTACTGTCGCATTTATACTTTTATTTTCAATAAAATCTTAAACTCTCTGAATGATTGAGTATATCAATTACTTTCTACACAACAAAAGAAAAAGTAAACTACTGGATTTCTGGTAATTGGACACAGTAGTACTTTTGTTTGTTTTATTCCATCACCACAGTAGGAAGTATGAACATACCATACACTTTTGTTTCTTAAAACATGTTTCAGCTCATTAAGCAATCATCAGGTATCTTGGACTTTACACATTCACCTGTATTCGCTTGCTGGTATTCCTATATTGGCCAATATTTACATATGGGAACATTCCTCTGTTAGTAATACATAATACCATTACACATAAAAAGTTGTATTCACTTGTAGGTTTAAATATTAACCATTAAAATATTAAATAATTAAAGTTAAAATTGAATATATATTGTGGCATGCTGCCAGAAAGCTGGAATGGTTGAGGAGATCATGGTTGATTTCCTAGGCAATGAGCGACATTCCCGCTATAACGCTACAATCGGAATGCATCCATTGTTATCCAGCGGCTAGCAATCTAACAGTGGAGTTTCCACAGTTACAACAGACGGTATACTTCAGTGGAAACGGATTCCCAAGTCCATTGCATAATAGTAGCCGGAAACCAGAGCCTCCTACATGGTGCGCTCTATTCAGTCCAAAAGGACGTTATAAGAGTCCAGCTTCGACAAGACCAGTCAGTTCTTAGTGTAGCTCCGACTAGAGCAGAAGCAAGCTCGCATCAGTCAAAGGGATCAAGACACTTCACTGAGATCGGCAGTGCAAGTAATTGTAACAGTGAAGTTGTGAATGATTGTACTTGCAAGTGTAAAAGAGATTGTCCAATAAACGTCTTAGCAAAATCCGAGACCCACGTGAATTTACTTGTCACATTACATAGGCAACACGCGACAATATAAAAGGTATTCTTTTATTATTTTTTGTCTGGATGCAGTAGTTGTGCGTAGATGTGTCTCTTCTACTGATGAATTTCTTTGGGGTTCTTCATGATCTTGTACTGATGTACTGTGTGTTCTGTTGGCTTGTCGGTATGTGATTGCATTTTTTCCTTGTTTGCATTCCATGTATATAGGGAAAGTGTTGTGTCTTGTATGTAGTGGTGTGCAACAGTTTCACAACCAACACATACAAGACTTCTTCCAAATACACAGAACACAAACAAGGAGAAAATGCAATCACATATAAATTGGTAAAAGGGACAAATCTACACACAACTATTATATCCAGAAAAAACATAATAAAAACCTTTTACATATGTTCAATTTCAATTATTTAACATTTCAATGACTAATATTTAACCTCAGGTGTGAACAAAGCTTTTTATATTTAATGGCATTACATATTACTAAACAGACCAGTATTCCAATATGCAAACACTGGCCAATGTAGGAATGCTAACAGATAAAAACAGGTAAATGTAAAAAATCATATAGCTGATGATGGCTTAATAAGCCAAAACATGTTTCAAGAAATGATAAACATATGGTGTGTCCACAGTTCCTACTGTGGTGACAATCAAACAAAGAAATTTCACCCATACACAATATTACGCTAAAAAATACAATATTTTTAGACATAGTAGTATCATATTGGGTAATTAAATATTCAATGAACCAGGCAGTGTGTTTGCAAATTCATATATTCTTAATCTGCAAACACAACAATAATCTTGCATACCTTGGCCTGCTCTCATCCTATTCCATTTTCCTTGGTATTATTCCTGGGTACACTTTATATCTGCTCTTTGATTTCTTTCATGATTCTTTGATGAATCATATTCCATAGTTAATTTGTTTTGGGGCTTGGAACTCCTTCATATACTCAGACACAAAATTTAATTTCTTTTTCAGAAACAAAAGCTCAACTCATTTGGTGGTGATGGGGGATGACTATGAATTTATTGTGGCTTGTTGATTCTATTAAAGGTTTTGTTTTTTATCTCAACATAAATATTGAAGTCAGTGAATCTACTGGCTACCATCTGGCCTTTTAATTTACAGAAGTCATTTCAGATGGCGACATAAATTGTTTGGCCAATTCAGCCTAAGAGAGACAAGCTCTTTGTGTCAAATCTTTCCTTAAACAATTGGACCCACAGCAGAGCCAGCAAGTCCATAGGCCATCAAATCACTAAGATAACCATCCCAAATCACAAATGATGCCAAAAACAGATCCTGCCATTACACATATATTCCTTGCACCTCTGTAAAATGTTCATATTTAAGCATTAAAGCTCCTTTTTAAACAGAGCAATCTTAAAACTTTAAACTTTAAACCTTGGTCTCCTATATAAGGCATCTACAAGAATGTTTAGGGGAATGTTCAAGCCTAGCACTGACTTCATACAGTTACTATTCAGTGAGCACTCTGGGTTTGAATTCAGTTCTGTGTTGTCCAGTAACAACACAGTTTGTCTAAATGCATTCACTGTAATACAAAGACATTTTTATTTCTATTTGGAACTGTAATGTCCTTAAATTTATGCTGGATTCTTCTCCTTTTCTTCAAATAAATATTTTATGTGAACATTCACGTCACTGTGCAACTTTCACATGTCATTTCAATACAGAATGTAACACATTTGACCGACTGTTTAATATAGTAACTGGAGTTTAAGATGATGACTGAAAGACACATAATGCATAAGCTCACTTCTTCATTCAAAGATTTACTGGAGCAATATTTAAGAGAAACTGTAATGTGTACAGTCTACTGACCTGCTGGTTACACTTTAAGTCCAAATGTTCATTGTGTAAGTTGCCTTGAGCAGCATTATCACTGCTGCCAGATGGGCCTAAAAATTTTCAGTAGGCCTTGAGATAATCTCCCTACACTATCATGAAAAAGGTACTATTTCATTACAACACAATCTACTTCTGAAAGAGCAGTTCATTGAGATTTCACTGAGCAATATATTAGATGGTACAGTAACTGATTGTTCATCATCCCATGTATAAAAAGCAAACTGCTAAAATGCTATACAAATGAAATAATAAAATGGCCACTTCAAACTTAATGAAATTAATTTGTAGTATTACACACAATATAATCAAATAAGAGTGGTCTGGGTGTCGTGAGTTATCTAATGATTGAGACTATACAAAGCATGATTTGATGACATATAAATGTGGCAGGAATTGATAGGAAGTAGCTGTAGCCTAATTGACGTACCATTTTAGTATTTGCCTGACGGAATGGAGGAAAACCACAAAAAACCTCAGTGATTTAAATGACTCCAAAAGAAATTATGTGTATTTTTGGTTTCAATGAAGGTCAATATGTTACCATTTGACTTACAGCTTCTCATCTCGTTTACGCTGCACTTTCCCATCCAACTTCCAAAGTTGCAAATCAACTTCATCCTCTTGAAGGGTAAATGACTGGCGTAGGTATGACTGGGTTGGTACTGATGGTAATTCCGTACTATCCGCTGTTACTACGGATTGGGTGTTATTTGATTGAGCCACTCCACTACTAGTGCTAGATCTAGTACTCAAATCTTGAGACCATAACATGGCTCCATTTAAGGGTGCCATATACAGCATGTCTCCATGGGAAAACCCATAACTATGTACAGTCTTACTGCGGGACGAGATTAATTCGTCTTTGCATCCTCGTTTACGATATAAAGCAAACCCATAGCCAGTAAGACCAAACGTATCATGTACCTAAAATCAACAAAAAGTAATTATTTATACAGCTATATTTACTCTTCATAATAAAGACTGGTTAAGATTTATGACATGTGTATAACCTATGCACCCACCTTTTCAAATAGTTCAAGAATTGAATCTGTTGGATGAACATCAATTCTCTTTGTTCCTTCTGGCGACTGAACTCGTAAGGTCTAAGAAAGAGAGACAAACAAGGGAAACTATCATTTATTTAAATCCTGAGTAAGCATATAAAATGAAGATTTATACATAGACATAACGGACGTCGAACGTTGTATTTAAACGAACATGTAATTCCTGTGTGTAGGTGAACAGCTTCTAATTTCTATATTATTCTAATTTCATAACTAAAATTTCACTATTTATTTTTATTTATGTCATGTACAGCACAGTGACGAAGCAACAACGAACTTCATGCTCAAATAAATTTAATTCACTACGAAAATAAAAGCTGGAGTACATAATTAGTACGAATATAATTTTAAATCATAAATATCCTTCTCGCATCTTAAAATGCTTACAAGAATTCTAGATTTTGACATATTGAAGCTTCCTCAGACTAACTTCTGCTTTACGAATCAGCTGTTGCCACCCCTGCTTTGACTGTTTCTGTTCTGCACACGAACGAACGAAAATTCGACAACGAATAGATGGCACCACAGACGTCAGCGATCACAGTTCCTGAACAACTTCCTATGCAGTTCTGCCAGTAGCCGACCGTAAACGTAAGTTTTAATAATAATTATTTTTATAGGCAATCCATTATATGAAGGTAATCATACGGTTAAATAATTAGACAGAGCGCCATATTATTGTATGTGTGAATTATCCTAGCGTTCTGAGTGTACTTGTTTCACAATCGCATGGAACACGTTGTGCCACATAATCAGTCGTTTATGTTCAGTCATTTTGGAATGGGGGAACACCTATGCTATAGGCAACTTATCATACACATTGGTTGCTGTGGTAGCATAATGTATTCTTGCAGGCGTTTGTAACGTTTATTCTATATGTGTATGTTATATGTGCGGTGTTCTAAGAAGTTCGGAAGTGGAATTAGTACATACATGAAACCACGCTGTATGATATGAAACAATATTGTAACCGTACACCCCAAGAGTCGGCAATTTATAGTGTCATCGATATTAAATCAAAGAAGGCCTAATTCTCTGCAGTTTTGAGGTAGAGACAAAGGGTTTCATCGACTACGCTCCGAAGTTATATCTGAGGTTTTTGTAGTTTTGTGCTCAAGATTCATGAAACACTTCTATTGCAGCTAACTACAGCATTGATATTTATTCCTCAACTATTGTAATTCGTTTTGAAAATCCCGAACATTGAAGTCATTTGTGCGTATTAAGTAATACACCGGGATTTTGGGGCCCCTTTCCTTCTACATACCCTGTGACCTCAGTGTGAGACGTCGTGCGCCCCATCTAAATGGTTATTTTAGTCTACTCATGTATTGCCAAAGCCATAAGATCCAGTTTAAACTAATTTTATTTAGTTAATGACAGAAAAAGTTACACATTGAAAAGCAAGTGGCAGATGCCAGAACATACCAAAACCTTAAAGGTAAATTAAGTTGCCTCTGTTCTCAATTTGTGCAGCATCACACCATGAAGACGTGTGGGGGAGTGGAAGTATAGCTCCACCGTTCTCGACCTCGGCACAAGGTGGAGGTGAGTATTTAGCTTTGCGCCCCAACCACTTTACCCCCAAAGAGAGCCTCCGGTACGCATTGGATAGGTAGCTGGATGGGTCCCAGAGCTGGTCTCGGCGCTATGGAGAAAAGAAAAATCTTGCCCCATCCGGGAATCGAGCCCCAGATGTCCAGCCCATCGCCATACCGACAGAGCTATCCAGGCCTAAAACGGACAGTCATTGTTGCAAACACTGCTGCTGCTTACAAGCAAGCAACATTTTAGTTCTGGGTGACGTTCTCGAGAGAGCAACATGCATGTCGTGTTCATCTTTCATATTCTTCCTCTCGCTGGTTTTGATAGAAAACGCACAGAAATTTCATGTTCGCATAGGTAAGTTGTGACAGACGTGACTAGTACTTGGTAAGCTCGCTTGCTCGGGATGGTATGCCTCATCAAATTTGAACTAGAATCTGTGCAGTTACATTGATTCGAAATCAAAGTGAGGTTTCTGAATATTTATCTGGCATTAAGAGAAGAACATAGACTGAGGGTGCTTGAGAACAGGGAGAATATTTGGATGCAAGAGGGATGAAATAATGGGTTGGAGGAAATTTCCATAAAAAGGAGCTTCATAACTTGCACAGTTCGCCAAGTATTATTAGGATGACCAAGTCAAGGAGGTTGAGCTTGTCAGAGCATGTAGCACGCATGGGAGAGAAGAGGGATGCATGCAAGGTTTTGGCGGTAAAGCCAGAAGGAAGGAGACCTAGACGTAGGTGATATAATAATAGTAAAATAGATCTTAGAGAAGTAGAATGGGATGCTGTGGACTGCTTTCATCTGGCTCAGGTTAAGGACCAGTGGTGGTCTCTAGTGAACATGGTAACGAATCTTCAGATGCCGTAAAATTTTCTGAAGTTGTTGAGTAGTTAAGCGATTGGTGGCTTCTCAAGAAGGGTTCTGTTCCATGGAATTAGCTGGTTAGTTTCTGGTTATTGCTAAAATCAAGAAGCTAGTTTTTCGGCAGATCGGTATCGCTGATTTGTTTCAGAGATATATAAATGTTAGCTCTGGGCCAGTCAGAATAAATTCTTCGAGGGCGGTTTTCCGATTTTCTAGGCGCGTAAAGGGACTCGTGCGAACTTTTGTTTCCACTGGATGTACTGAATCTAAAAAGAAGAATCAAAGAGAGGAAAATTAGCTAATTATCCGGATTTTACTCTTCACCACAGAGCTAACGTCTCTTGAAATGACAAGTTTTTATACAGCCTCCAAAGCAGTCATTTCTCTACCCTACAATGAACTTTCAAACGAATTCAGAATTCCAAACACATCTTTAAGGTAGGCCAAATAATTCCCCATGTTCAGGTCCGTGAAACGCTGAAGCAGAATATATCCCTTTTCGCGTAGAAAGAGTCGTCTTTTCTCTTGATCATCAGCGTACCTCTGTGTGAAGCATAAGCACTATATATTCAGGCCTATCCTCTTTGCACACTCTTTGAAAACATGGTTATTCAATGTCCTTGCTTGGATAATTTTGAAAGCATGGGCGACGACATCCAACATGTCTTGCGAATAGGAAGGAACAACGTTCTTCAGTACGTAGCATATCGATCAAGAATGCAGTGACTAGAGGCAACATTTTCTGACGCGAATTGTGATTCCAGAATTTTCCCCTAACATGGCTAGAGCACAGTCGGTAAGAATAACTTTTCCAATGTCCCATGAAAGGCCCTTAGAATCGAAAATATCGTCCAGCACTCTCGTAATGTCAACTGCCTTTGTTGCTTATATAAAGATTTTCACAAAATAGAATTTATTTGATTTCATTCTGATGCAGTCACCGAGAAAATCGAGAAGATGACCGCAATTTGAGACATCAATTGATGTGATCAATTGATCACTCAACTGAAAACCCATTTTTGCCGGACTTCTCATTATTTGTTCCACCACTTGTCTGCGAATATCTTCTTACATTCCCTTGATTTGATCTCGAATGATATCGTTTGATAGTGACATCTGTGTTATTTTTAGTTTTCATTCTTTACCCCACATTAGCTCGGTCATTTCCATATCAGATGGTTTCGCCAGGTCTCTGCAATGGTATACAGCTTTTTCCTTCGGTGATCCTTGCTGCAACGTGATTACTTGCCTCCAGAACGGGCTTTTTCTCGGGAGTGAATCCATGATTGGAGAGTGTGTCCCTTGTTTCAAATCATGCTGGCTTGATATTAAACAAAGTTCCTGTGTCTTTAGCATTCTGAGGGTGAACACTCTGCAGGAGTTAAGTTGGATGGCTTCATGTATCCATTGCTACTTACCATTGAGCAAAGGAAACATTGTGGCTTTTGCAGACCATCTTCACAAAGCATGAGCGTAAAGCCATACAGCACATATGGATCCTGGTAACAACGTTTCTTAGACGTGATAAAATTTTGGGCGAAACAGGAATCTCACCTTAATGAAACAACATTAAAGAATGGCGATGAACTCCACCTGAGTTTCTCATAATTCATGAACTGTTGTTCCTACCTCTAAATAGCTATATACTTTGAAAATAACATTTTTAACTTGTAACTTCCCCGATTAATTAAATATTATTAGGACCGCCTCTGTGGTCTAGTGGTCAGCGTTCTGGCTACAGATGCAGAGGTCCGGGTTCGATTCCTTGCGCTACAAGATTTTTTCTGAGAAGTAGTGAGTCTGGAACGGGGTCTACTCAGCCTCGTGATCATAACTGAGGGACTACCGTATTTACGCATGTATAGGCCGCACATTTTTTGCCAAAAATTCAAGAGGAAAACTGGGGTGCGGCTTATATTCGAAATATTCGTAATCACACTTCATTTAAAAAAAAATTATATTCATAATTAGTAATACGGGGTGTAATACTCCTGAAATAATATTCCAAGAAAATTATTTTTTCTATAATTTCTGTCTGAAAATTGTAATGCGGCCTATACACGCACGCGGCCTATACATGCGTAAATACGGTATTTCAAGGAAATAACAGCTCCGGTCTAGAAAACCGAAATTAACGGCCGTGGGGATTCGTTGCGCTGACCACGCGACACGCTCTATCCGCAAAAGTTGGCACTAAACTTCGCCGAGAAACGGCGGTCGTTCGGTCAGTATAGTTCGCTTGCGGACTAAAATCACAGAATTTGTTTGTTTTATATATTTAAAAGGCGTACCAGTTTCTGCTGCAGTTTTTAATAATGGAAGGTCATAGGTCACATGGAAGTTTTCCTTATTCCTCGCCTAATTGAAGTAATGCATATCCCGTTGGGTTGTGGTCGTTTCGGCGATGGTAGCTTGTAGTTTCGTGCGTTGTTATACACTTTTCGTAGGAACCTGGTACCCTATGATACTACACAACATCATAATCCAGAAGACCACAGCTTCATTTTCACTACCGTAAAACCTCAGATCCGATCAGTGCCTACCCCTGATCGTGTACCTTATATTGTGTCATGCAAAAACAAAAATGAAACGAGAGAGCAGTGCATACAGATGAAACTCTTCTTTAATAACAGGTCGAGAGAAATCTAAAATTCTACCACATCTCTCTTTTTCAGTCGAACCTCTTCTACTATTTTTATTACTAATATGTAGGGTTTCTATTACATTTAATCTAGTGGCTAGCTATTAAACCTCTCTGAAATGGAAATTGGCCCAGCACTAGACTTCTGTTTGCACGGGACATAAGCTTGTTCACCGGGTGGGAGTGTGCCCACTCTACCAGTCGAGAAGTCAGACACTACTTGACTTAGACCGTGAATTTAATGGTCGTTAGCATTTACATTCACACTTACTTCAAATCAGTGTTCAGTTATAATAATAACAATAAAATCTGTATAATCCAAGAAATTGGATGTGACAGAAATTACTTTATATTGTAATTGCAGCGCAGTGCATCTTTCGGGTCCTTAAATGTAATGCATCGCGTTGTGTGACTATATTACCCCAATTGAAAAAATTAATACCATGCTTTAAGCGGAACATTCCGAATTGTACTTGAAATACAGGTAGGATCACGTGTGCTAACTTCGGCATGCCCTACTTTTTCCCAGACGCTACAGATGCCCTTGGCCCAAATTTCCGTTTGCTTTTTTCTTTCTTGTAGCTGACTATAATGTCCATGTCACTTACAGACTCCGCGTCATACTACAGTAATTTAATACCACGGTACAGAACTTGGAAATTTGATATTTTCTGAGCTTTTCATCTTGAGCCAGTTGAACCCAGTCCACATCTTCATACCATGTTTCTTTCACAGTCATTTTAATGTTATCCCTTAAACGCTTAGGTTGCCTAAACGGTCATCCGCCTGGGGATTTTCAACTAAAATTTTGTATGCCTATCTCATCTACTGCATGTACACGTACATGTTCCGCACATAATATTATCTTAGATCTGATTATCCTGTCATTTGCCGAAGAGGATTCTCTTATAACCAGATTCAGTTATATTACCGTAGAGTACATACTGATATTTATGGGGTTAGTTGCTGTTGCCAGAGGCTTTTCTTTTTCACTTTATTGCGGTATGCAAACTGCTGCAGTTACGTGGCGTCGGCGGTATGATGCCGGTGCCGGTAAATGGATCTGCCAACAGTACTCTCTCTGTCATTAACTGTCGTCATTTTCGTGAGAAATTCTTATTTAGACAGCTTCTTGAAGCCGAATTTTGTATTTTAGGCATAATGTTATGACTTCGTTTGTGAGTACGCGAAGCCTTTAGCGTGTATTTGGTGTGAACGGCTTAAGACCGAACGTTGCGGTCGAGTGATTAGATCTCTTGCTTTATATTCAGAAGCTCCCAGTTTTAAATCGTAAGCCGGAGACCGAAGATTATACAGAGCGATTATCTGAGAGCTTCCCAGAAATTGTTCGACCTTACGCGGAGAGAGAATCACTCCTCAGACCAAGTCGGGTCCACTTGTAGTGGACTCGACAGAGCAGAAGGCTATACACATTACACTTTCTCTTCAGTATCGCCCCAAATATAAACTGGAGTGTTAGCCACTTTCGTTTAAAGTTGTTTATCTAACTTTTGATTGGGGACGTAAACGCATACGCACATATAAGTAGTACGATCGGCCGCGACGTTGGATCTTGAGAAAGTAAGCCGGAACGTCCCGAATACGAAGCCCGAGTTCTGTACATTAGGCAAGCTTGATAATTTTTACAAGACAGTTGTGGCTGCTGAAAGTTTTCGCATTTAGAATCGTATGCTTTCTCTGATCAGTAGCATTACTTTCTTTTTCCCGAGACAGTGAGTTTTATTTGTCCATATCGAACATTTGACAACATACGTGTAAAATTTAAAAGATACTACAATAGTAACTGCATTTGAAGTAAACTTGTGAATGCCAATCAAATGATATGACGTCAGAAACCAACGTTCTGCTGAGGAATGAAGCCTTCTCCTTACTGTGGCATAGTTCTATTCTTGGGCTGACCCCCCCTTCCGATCCACACTTGGAGGCTTACGTAGACGGGATCATGTACCTGCAGTCAGTCATCGCTTTGGAAATATTAGTTGTCTATGGAGTATCACAAAGTTGTGCAATATTTCTTCATAAGAGCACAGTCATTCTAAACAATTACGAGTCACGTCTACGCATGCTATAACTGCGCTCAGTCGTGCAGTACGGACTGAACACGTGCTATCATCGTGGATTATCAGTAGAGAATACGTTGGAGGAGACGTGTTGGTTGCATTGAGCTCCAGTTCTGTTTCGCCGCCGTAAAATGTGTGTCAAAGGTGTAGTTTGATTATTATACGTTTATTTTAAAGTGAAATGGCATTTGGAATGTCTGAACATAGTTTTCACGAATCGACAGTAAGTACGTATTTCCAAAGTTGTTATTCTGAAGTAATGTAACTTAACCAGGTTCACAGAGCAGAGTCTGTCTTGAGAAGTTAGTAGTCTTCCAGCTAACAATTTAATTTCCCGCCTTAATACAACACAAATGCTTACTGCCGTATTCATAAGAACCCGTTATTGGTACCTATCCTGAGTCAGAAGAATTCAAACTACAGGCTCATACAATATTTCTCTAAAATTTATTTTAATATTATTTACCCATTTGCCCGTAGATCCCCCAAGTAATCTGTAACCTTTCGCGCTTTCCGACTAAAATCGTGTATGCATTCATGATCACTCTAATACGTGCTACACTTCCCGCCTATCTCATCTGAACAGTTTTTAACAATGAGTACACAATGACCCTGGGGTCTCCTCAGCCGCTAACAGAAATGAACACCAGGAATCTTCCTCGGGGTAAAAGGCGGCCGCGCGTAAGGCTGACAACCTCACTGCCGTCTGTGAGCCAATTGTCAATAAAATGTGGGAGTCTCGACATCTCACAATCCTATGGCCCTCCACGGCCTGTTACAAGGATAGCTTTACCTTTTTACAAATCTAAATGAAAGTGACACGTGGAAAGTTTGAGCATTATTTTTTTAATAGTCCACACCCTTTTTACAAGGGGTATTCAGTAAATAGTCACAAATGGAAGTAAAACGGCTGCAATGAACGTAATAAGGTTTCTGTGTGTATCACTTGGTAGCAGCACAGTCCGTCTTCATAACAGACTAGATAGAAGACCCGCATGCGCATGGCCAGAGCTGGTTTTAGTAGTCAGAATGGCGACCGTGTTGAGGGCTGTACTGCCGAAGAGCAGAGTTTTGTTGTGCGTTTTTTGGTGTGCAGAAGGACTCAGTGCAAAGTATACTTATAAAGAAATGTATCCTGTGTACGATGGGAAGTGTCTGACACGTAAAGCAGTTCAAAACTGGATCGCGAAATTCTCTCAAGGACGTTAGAAATTTTCAGATGATGCCCGACCGGGTGAGGAAGTGGCTGAGACAACAGTCTAAGGACCTCTATGCTGCGGGTTTCGACGCACTGATAAAGCTATGGGGAAAGTTGTGGAGGGTATGTCGAGAAATAAATGTTTGTTTCCAGGTTCGAATATGTCATATTTTACGTTTTATATTCCTTCGTCACCTATTTACTGACTCTCCCTCGTATGTGTGTTTTAATACAGTGTAACATTTTAGGAATGCATTTCGGGAGTCTGCTATTTACCTTCTGTTTTTCTCTGTTATTCCGGCTATAAAGTAGGATCTGTCCTGTACTTTGAATCCTATTCTGATTTTTTAGTATACGTCGTTCGGTATTATTCTCGTTTCAGTTTTTCATGCCTTGAGTATTTGTGGCAAAGCTCAACACAGTTGAGCAGTACTATTTTCTGGGATGCAGTTGGTAGACTACACGGGATTATGTCTTATAAGATAGTACTCTTCACGGTTACCACCGTGAGAATTTCAAGTCGGATTTAACAGAATTGATAACCGGTGATACAAATATTGTGTTTTTGGACATTATCCATCATCCTGTCTATTTTCTAAAAACCGTCCTGTTTATTTTTAAAAAACACAACGTTTCGGAGACTGGATTTTGTCCCCGTCCTAAAACCAACTCACGTGGGTCCAATAGATAGAGCTATCTCCGAAGATAGGGGCTAGCTCCATCTATTGGACCCAAGTGAGTATGTTTTACCTGAGGACGGTGACAGAATCCAGTCTCCGAAACTTTGCATTTTGAAAAATAAACAGGACGGTTTTTAGAAAATAGACAGGACGATAGATAATGTCCAAAAACATAATATTTGTAGCAGTGTACCATCGTCACAAACTTTTAGATCTTATTTGATAACCGGTATCTTGATGACAGCTGGTTTAGCTGAGGAAGACGGCAAGACAAATGGTTTCAGTGTTCTTTATAGGGGACTTCCGAATACGCGTTTGTCGTGTTACCGAGAAACAAATTCGGGTGGTAATTCCAAGTAATTCGTTTTCAAGTAGTCAGTGATGCCATCAGTAGGTCGTTCTTCTCATAATTTTTGAAAATCATTTAACCTTTAGACCCAACACGATGTAGCGGTAACGCTAGATATATATCTGCTTGCTTTCGGGGTGTGTTCTATTGGAATCCTGGCCGGAACGCTGACTCTTGCCTGAGGTTCTTCGTGAGGTTTCTAGATCCTTCCAGGCGAATTGCAGAGTGTATCTCGATTAGGCTACGACCGATTGCTTCCAGAACCTTTCCAGTTCACCAGTCAGCGTGCCATTCGTCGCTACTCGTTGGCTAGAAACCGATAACAGAGGCGTAAAGTAAACCACGAAATTTTTCCTTTGAAGAATTAGTGTATAAAAATTTAAGCTTTACTTTGTAGATAGCTTTAGGTAGACTTACGTGGAATGCTCGGGAGCTCGGGAGAGCACGTGAATCCGTTGCCGCTTATGTTAGGCTTCCTTACTTCTGCGAGAAAGTGTCGGTTTATTGCAAATCATTATGTGTATACGACTTCAGACGGTGTGGCATGCTTGCGTGTGTTTGCATGTCTGTGTCATGCTGTTTTCTGATTTCATAGATTATTTAACGACACTGCCAGTATATACACTGTATAACACAGAATGTTGGAATGACTGATGAATAAGGAATTGGAAAGGATTTGGAAGGAAGTGGTGGTATTCTAATCAAAGTGCTATCCCGGCATTTGTTTAGAGGGGCAATAAAATCTCAAAGCACCACAGTCAGGATAGTTGGTGTCCTGGCAGAGAATCGATGAACTCCGGAATAGAAGTCTATAGCGTGACCTATAGACAAACTTGTTCGTACAGCTTTCTCCATTAAACGTTTTTTTACTTGTTTTATCATTTGGCCTTGTGAAGCGTATAACCAAATATTCCATCGAAGCTGAATCGGAGGAAGTCACTACTTGGGATAAAAGAACACTTTCCTTGTAGTTTTTCTGTGTACCAGTAAATAGCAATGCTATCTGAGGCATGCTTGTATGAAGACGTCCTTAATTAGAGGGGCACACTTTATCCATTTCCATTGCATTAATACTGAGTTATCTGCACAGCCTAGTTAGTGAATACATGTCTTATAAAGATGTGTATTTGGTACGTAGCGTCTATACTCAGATAATTGCCTGAAAACCACTTTGGGGCCAAATTTTGGCATGCTTGTTTTCATGACCACTCACATTAATGAGGAACGACTGCGAATTAACTGGCGTTTCATCTTCTCTCTTTTTTTTTTCCGGAAGATGCCATGCTGAAAATTAATATTAATTTTATGTGTCCAAACGAAGCTTAGTACCGTGCAATATATTTGAATAACAGTAATAATAATGATAATAATAATAATTCAATTCAGTTCAATTCTTTATTATTTATGTGCCGAGTCAGCAGCCGCAAGGCCAATTACAGACAGAGCACAGGGTAGATACAAGTAATTACATTTTGGACAAACACTACATAAAGTCAAAGACAAATTACAGGCAAGCACTGGATGAAAACACATTAATGCAGACAAGTAAACAAACAACAACAAGAATAATAATAATAATAATAATTTCATTAACATAAATGCAGACAAGTAAAGAAACAAACAAATGATGATAGCAACAATAATAATTTCATTACATAAATCTAAGTGTTATTGAGAACTGAGAAATGAAACGTATAAATATTTAATTGAGAAATGAAAAGTATAGATTTTCAGAGAGGATAATAATAATTATTCAGTTTAATTGTTGTTTATTATACATGTAAATTAATAATACTGACATTTATACTATATTTAAAAATCGTTTTGGGAGAACTTTCCTGGCTCCGAATACGTCAACATCCCAGCATACAACATTAACAGCTGCTGCACATCTAGCAGAGGGACAATTTTTAGATGAGGAGCAAACATTGAACAATGCAAAGTCTCTAATATACCTAGCAGGAACTCGGAGACCAACAATTTCCAGAACAGAAGGGCAGAATTTCGAGCCCAAATAAACTCTAATAAGAAATAGAGCATCAAGACGATGTCTCCTAGTACGTAAAGTATGCAATTTTAACTCATCCAGAGCAAGAGAATAATTGTAATGAACTTGAGGATAGAAACGATTAAAACAAAGTGCCGCTAACCTCTGCTGGATGCGTTCCAGCTTGTTGGCATCAGTTGACTACGGACGCATATTCAAGCTTAGATCTAACTAAGGCAGTGTACAATCTGAGCATACAGTCTAGAGATGAGAAATTGAAAGTATTGTTACGAACTAGACCAAACACTTTAACACAGCGAGAGAAAATGTAATTTATCTGGTCATGGAAATATAGTTTAGCATCAATAAACACTCCCAGGTCTTTTATAGAATCGGTCCGGGCTATTGACGATTGACAAAGTTTATAATCGTAGATCAGTACGCTGGTTTTCCTGGAGAAGGATATAACTTTAGTTTTACTGATGTTGAGTTTCATACAGTTAGCAATGCACCAACCTTGTACAGAGTTACTGTCAGACTGAAGTAGATAGCAGTCCTGAGGAGAACTAATGGCTCGGTAAATTTTGACGTCATCAACAAAAAGCAGACATTTAGAGAGGGCAACTGCATCACACATGTCGTTAATAAACACATTGAAGAGAAGGGGTCCCAAGACATCCCTGAGGAACACCGGGGAGAACTTCAAAAGGTGAGGAAAGAACGCCAGAAACACGGACCTGAGATTTCCGGTTGGATAGGTAACTACGAAACCAGCTTATATACCGTATTTACGCATGTATAGGCCGCGTGCGTGTATAGGCCGCAGCACAATTTTCAGACAGAAATTATAGAAAAAATAATTTTCTTGGAATATTATTTCAGGAGTAGAACATCCTGTATTACTAATTATGAATATATATTTTTTTTAAATGAAGTGTGATTTCGAATATTTCGAATATAAGCCGCACCCCAGTTTTCCTCTTGAATTTTTGGCAAAAAATGTGCGGCCTATA